CACTTTTCTACACTTTTCTACACTTTTCTACACTTTTCTACACTTTTCTACACTTTTCTACACTTTTCTACACTTTTCTACACTTTTCTACACTTTTCTACACTTTTCCACACTTTTCTACACTTTTCTACACTTTTTTACACTTTTCTACACTTTTCTACACTTTTCTACACTTTTCTACACTTTTCTACACTTTTCTACACTTTTCTACATTTTTCTACACTTTTCTACACTTTTCTACACTTTTCTACACTTTTCTACACTTTTCTACACTTTTCTACACTTTTCTACACTTTTCTACACTTTTCTACACTTTTCTACACTTTTCTACACTTTTCTACACTTTTCTACACTTTTCTACACTTTTCTACACTTTTCTACACTTTTCTACACTTTTCTACACTTTTCTACACTTTTCTACACTTTTCTACACTTTTCTACACTTTTCTACACTTTTCTACACTTTTCTACACTTTTCTACACTTTTCTACACTTTTCTACACTTTTCTACACTTTTCTACACTTTTCTACACTTTTCTACACTTTTCTACACTTTTCTACACTTTTCTACACTTTTTTACACTTTTCTACACTTTTCTACACTTTTCTACACTTTTCTACACTTTTCTACACTTTTCTACACTTTTCTACACTTTTCTACACTTTTCTACACTTTTCTACACTTTTCTACAGTTTTCTACAATTTTCTACAATTTTCTACAGATTTCTACAGTTTTCTACGACCCACTCAAGAAAATCTACAAATTATTTTAGGTTATTCAGACAAAATAACTAATTTTAAAATAATTTATGAATATAAAAAAGATTAGATTATTTAGATTAGTTATTATTTATCGATTTTACACAAAATAACCCATTTTAATGTGTATTTAATCTCAATAACTAAAAAACATATACTGTCAATTAGTTTGACAGAATTGTCACTTATTTAAAATTTTAAAAATAATAGTAGTTGGGTGTCCAAAATTGAACTGTGATTGGTGAATTTCATTTTTATTTTCCTATCTGTATACAGATATAAGGAAAGTATAGGAATCATGATTTTTTTCGACCTCGAGTTTTCGACGGATTTTTACGTTTTGAGGTCCCCTGAATCCGTTTTGACTATTTTCGCGATGATGTCTGTGTGTGTGTCTGTGTGTGTGTCTGTATAACGCATAACTCATGAACCGATACACAGAAAAACACCAAATTTTAAACTTAAGCTTTATTCTAGATTTTGGGCAGAGTCGGAACATCTAGGGGAGTACTTTATAGGTGGTCATTTTTATATTTTATAGAATATATCTGTTATTTACGTTTGGAGAAGAAAATTCTTCAAATAAAAGTTACGTCTAATATAACTATCTATAATTTTTGTTCTATACAAAATTTTCCTAAAATGGTCCGTATTCGAGAAATTTGACAAAATGTAAAAAAAATATTTTTTCATAAAAATTGTTCAAATAAAAGTTGTTTGTAATATAATTCTCTATAATTTTTATTTTATACATAATTTTTTTAAAATGGACCGTATCGAGATATTTGAGAAAATGTGTAAATTTCGAATTTTGAAGAAAACTCAAAAGCGGATAAAGAAAAAATCATTAAATTTTAAACTTAAGGTTTATTTCGGCCTGACGTGAAATTATTAGATTTTGGACAAAGTCGGAACATCTAGGGGGGTACTTTATGGGTGGCCGTTTTTATATTTTATGGAATATATCTGTTATTTATGTTTGGAGAAGAAAATTGTTCAAATAAAAGTTACTTCTAATATTATTATCTATAATTTTTGTTTTATGTCAAAATTTCCTGAAATGGTCCGTATTCGAGAAATTTGACAAAATGTGCAAAATTCTGATTTTTATGAAAATTGATGAACTAAAAGTTGTTTGCGATATCGATCTCTATAATTTTTGTTTATACATGATTTTTATAAAATGGACCGTAATGGAGAAGTGCTAAATTTAAATTTTTCAGTATTTTCGTTTTCAATGAATATTTATAGAAAAATGTTTCGAGGTAGATGAATGTGGACAATGTATATATTTAGTTTATCCTCTAAAATTTATAGAGATGCTGCAATAGGTTGTACAAAATAACCGGAAAAAGCCTACAATAACTAGATAGGAAAGTCATGTGTTGGACACATCAGATTTTTTGCAGTGTTATCACTACCTAGAATGAATATGAAATATATTCATTCAGTTCAACGCGATAGCATACTTTTCTTTTTGTAGTCTATGCGTAGATGAGTTAATATCCATGTGGGTGTAGCAAAAATTACTTACTAACGCATTAGGCTGTCGCTGTCAAGTTTATTTTATTCTATAAATTAGTTAAAGTCATAAATTATATTTAAATTAGTTGTTTTATCCTAATAATCTAAAATAATTTTTAAAATTTGTAGATTTTCATTAGTAGGTCGTAGAAAAAATGTACTGTACAACTCCAGTTAATTGTCTGTATCGCTATCAGACGATTAAGCACTACGGCGTCATTTCTAAAATTCGTCTTCGTGCGATATGGTCATCATATTCACTTTTGTTGCACTACTAATGTGTTAAAAAAACTTAGTTGAACATATGACAAGTAAAGAAGTTGTCTTCTCAGGACATATACTTACACCTCTAGAAGAAAAAAATTGCTACGTAGTATTTTTAAAAAATCTTAAAAGTTTGAATTCAAGACCCAATATTCAAAATAAATAAATGTTTTCCGATGTATTATGTCCAACTACTAGAATCATATCTATCACAGCAAACATTTAAAGTTAAAATATGCTGGCGTCCCACAGGGAAGTGTTCTTGAGCCAGTATAATATTTATTATATATCCATGATATTCCAGAGATATAATTATAAAAAATATCTACAATCGCTGATGATACAGCTGTCTTAACCATAGAATCAACTCTAAGAAACAACAGTAAAGCTTAAAAACGGAATCAATAGCATACAAATCTGGTTTGAACAGTGGCGCACAAAAATCAACGAAGAGAAATTAATTAAGAGCAGAGGCTCCACAAACATTCCAAGATTTAAATACTTCAACTTGAGCTTGTGCAAGTGGAAGTGATAAGCAGAATCACAATATCTAAGAGTGTAGAATATGTTAATAACTAGTATTGAACATATTCGATATCTACAGGGTGATCAATTAGTGTGAAATCGTTCTTTATAAACTCTAGTTGCTAACAAAGAGTTTTTATTGCATTCTCCCAAAATCCATACCATATCAACTAATTCTTCACGACTATAATTCATATTAAAAAACTGGCGAGACTTTATAGGAAACAGATAATGTAATACTAATGACATTAATAATAACAAACTGTCAGTATTGGGGGGTTTTCAAAGCCAACTTAAAAAAAAATTTAATAAACAAAAAATTTAGTAGGTTTCATTTGTAGTTTGTGGTTGCAATGTTTATTTCTTTTTCTAATAAATGTATAAGTGACATTACATATTGTCAGAAACTTACTTAGTCGATAATAAATAATTACTTCAGGTTAAATTCAATTAATTATTAATGATAAATAAAATGTATATCCAATCCATTATTTTCTGAATTATCGTTTTTACCACTAAAATTTAAAAATCTCTAAAAACTATTAACTTTTGATACTTTTGAACGATGATATAAAATACAGGGTGAACCATTTAAAAAAATTGAGGTAAAATTATGTATTTGTGTTTTGACTCACCCTGTACAGATTTGATGCGAATTGAAAAAAGTAGTGTCTCCGGAAAAAATTTGACCATAATCGAAAAATTGTGGTAGAAAAAAAATTAGTTGTCAATTGTTTATTTTGCATGATATAGGTCATTGAATTCAATACGATTTTCATACAAAACTGATTATATCCTGCAAAATACCCTGTACAAACCAATAATAATTTTTATTTTTAGAATGGGAAAAGCGAGGGCAATTCAAATATAAAATAAAATACAGGGTGATCTATTAAAAAGAACATAAGTTGGTTCCAGAGGGACGTTATTAAACACCCTGTATATTAAAAAATAATTTTAGTGTAGTTTAACGCTGTCTACCGTTCTGTGAAAATATTTTTTTATATCTCTAATAATGGCGGAGATATTGGACTTTTTCACACTAATGGATCACCCTGTATATAAGACTGGATAAGATAACTCGCAAAAATCAACTTATTTCGGTCCCATTAATACGAATTTCAAGATAAACATTCTACGATTTTTCAGATCCATTGCATAATAGAAAAATTGAGAAAACTCTGGAAAACTCTAGAAGAAAAAAATTTGCTACTCGGTATATTTTATAATCCTAAAAGTTTGACTTCAAGGCCTAATATTCAAAATAAATAAATGTTTTCACATGCAATATGTTAAATTCTAGAATCATATCTGTCATTTAAAGTTAAAATTGCTGGCGTCCCACAGGGAAGTGTTCTTGGGCCAGTATAATATTTATTATATACCCATGACATTCCAGAGATAAAACAATAGCCACAATCGCTGATGATACAGCTGTCTTAATCATAGAATCTAGAAAAAACAACAGCCAATCTTCAAAACGAAATCAATAGCTTACAAATCTGGTTTAAACAGTGGCGCACAAAAATCATCGAAGAAATTAAGGCTACACAAACATACCAAGATTTAAATACTTTAATTTGAACTTATGTGATGAACAGAATCACAATATCTAAGAGTGCAGAATATGTTAATATCTATATTTGGTAAAATTTGATAGTAATTTAGGTAATTGTAATAAAAATGTTAGATTTATACATTTTGAATTATTTAAAATAAATATTGCACTTGCAATAAAATAAAGTTAGTATTGCAAACTTTTTTTATTAATGTTAAGCTTATTTTTAATTGTATTGAATTGAATCAGCTTTCAAATGAAGTGCCACTCTTTACAATATGTTAACCTAAACCGCATCTTAAAAAAATTCCCAATGAATTAGCGATATTCTTTGGACAAAAAAAATCTGTACAATATGGTGGTACTTACCAAAAGCAGCACAAGAAAGGACAGCAATAGCAAACGATCTCATGGTGACTGCCTTTATCCTTGACTAAACTGTTAGTTAAATAAACTGCAACTCTTCGATTCGGACACGCTTAACACTTTCTATACACCTCACCGATCTACCGACGAATGGCTTAAGCTTAAGACGATTTCAGCCATCAGGCTGTCGGTTTTTCAGTCGGTATACAGGGCGAAAAGGAAAATTAATGGTTTCCGCGTCGGTGGGCCAGCGGGAACAAAAGAAACAGTTATGGTTACGTAAAAATGTTTATAACTACTGAAAATAATTTGCATCTTCGGTTTGGTGTGATTATAATAATAATATTATATAATTATTAGTTGAATGAGCTCGTTGTATTTATGTTTGTTAATAATAATATATTTTATTATCAGAGAGAAAATACAAGATTCCATGGACAAGGTTTAATACTAATTAAAATTATATATGTAGATGTTAATGCTCACACTATTAAAAAAATCTAATTAAAATTGGTAAAACATAAAAATAAACTTATAGAAAAAATATATGTCATTTTAAAATATATCATTATGAAACTCCAACATATTTTTACAGTATTTTTAAATAAAAATGGAGATCTAATCGATTTTAAAACACTAGGCAAATTATTAGGTTTACAATGACCTCTATAAATAGCTTTGGCTAAGAAATAAATACTAAGTTAAGGAGATAATATTGTGAAAAATTTCCCCAGAATACACAAATTGCATACCAGAAATGAGTGTCTACTTGTAATGTGGTTTGTTTTGGTAGCGGGTATATTTTAGATAGTCGGAGACAGAGTTCTTTGGAAATAAAACTTTATTCTAACAATTTATATACAGATAACAATATTTACAATATGTAGATGAAAAGGTTCTGGCTAAATTTCAATTATTCTGTGCTGTTGTCCTACATGATTATCACACCCTGTAGTTTGCATGATTCATGCAGACCAGCACAAATACCAAGATAAAAACGGCAAAAAAACCTCATCGCTCTTGCCTCGATAATTACTTACTCATTGCATTCATTTGTGCCGGCCAATAAACGTAAAAATTTTTAATTTAAAGTTGAAAATGCCAAAAACTAATTTATTATAGTGGACAGCAGCGATAGTGATAGTGAAAATGGAAATGTAAATAAACAGGAAAAACGAAGAAAGAACGATAGATATGCAGAAATTTTAACGCTTCGCTGTATACAGGATGAACTTAAATTTAATGATAATTCGGAATTGTCCGAAGAAGGTAAGTTATTTTCATTAAATGTGATTGATTATTGTTTCACATACAACGCTACAGTAATGGACGATGTCTTACTTTGTAGTTATACAAGAATGTAATAGACGTTTGTCTTACATTACAAAAAATCTGATGTGTCCAACACATGACTGTCCTATCTAGTTATTACAGGCTTTTTCCGTTTATTGTGTACAACCTATTGTAGCATCTCTATAAATGTTTAGAGGATAAACTAAATATATATACATTGTCCACATACATCTACCGCGAAACATTTTTCTATAGATATTCATTGAAAATGAAAATACTGAAAAATTTAAATTTGGCACTTTTCCTACAATTTTTCCATTACGGTCCATTTAAAAAAAATCATGTATGAACAAATATTATAGAGATCGATATCGCAAACAACTTTTATTTCAACAATTTTCATAAAAATCAGAATTTTGCACATTTTGTCAAATTTCTCGAATACGGACCATTTCAGGAAATTTTTACATAAGGCAAAAATTATAGATAATAATATTAGAAGTAACTTTTATTTGAACAATTTTCTTCTCCAAACATAAATAACAGATATATTCCATAAAATATATAAACGGCCCCCCCCATTAAGTACCCCCCCAGATGTTCCGACTTTGTCCAAAATCTAATCATTTCACGTCAGGCCGAAATAAAACTTAAGTTTAAAATTTATTGATTTTTTCTTTATCCGTTTTTGAGTTTTCTTCAAATTTCGAAATTTACACATTTTCTCAAATATCTCGAATACGGTCCATTTTAGAGAAATTATCTAAGGGACAAAAATTATAGAGAATTATATTACAAACAACTTTTGTTTGAACAATTTTTATAAAAAAAAATATTTTTTTACATTTTGTCAAATTTCTCGAATACGGACCATTTTAGGAAAATTTTGTAAATGACAAAAATTATAGATAATAAAATAAGAAGTAACTTTTATTTAAAAAATTTTCTTGCCCAAACGTAAATAACAGATATATTCCATATAATATAAAAATGACCACCTATAAAGTACCCCCCCAGATGTTCCGACTCTGCCCAAAATCTAATCAGCTCATTAGACGCTGGAATAAAGCTTAAGTTTGAAATTTGGTGTTTTTCCGTGTATCGGTTCATGAGTTATGCGTTATACAGACACACACACACACACACACACACACACACACACACACACACAGACACACACACAGACACACACACAGACATCATCGCGAAAATAGTCAAAACGGATTCAGGGGACCTCAAAACGTAAAAATCCGTCGAAAACTCGAGGTCGAAAAAAATCATGATTCCTATACTTTCCTTATATCTGTATACAGATAGGAAAGTAAAAATTAATAAATAAATAAAAATAAAAATTATGTAATGGACGATTGTCTTATATTAATTTAAAAATATAGGTTATTTCTATTTGGATATTTTTTCTTCTAGACACTACAACTATCAATCAGTCCAACGAGACAGACAATACCTTTAAAATTAAGGAATTGTTAGGTGAAAATCCTCAAGAAACCAAAAAATATGGAAATAGTTTACATGAAGAAATAACCACAAGATGGAAACATTATGTTTTAGAAGGAGTACCCACAGAAATCTTGGAAACTTTAAACAAAAAATATATGTTGCCAGAAAATTGCCAATTTTTATCAGCACCTAAGTGTAATGAAGAAATTGATATTTGTATACCACGGGAGGCTTGACGGCGATTGGTTTGGTAATTTCAAATTTTTTAAATGATCCCGAATCTATCGACTCAGATAAAATATTAACGGTTTTGGCTGATAGCGGTCAACTGCTAACAAATTTGCAGCATAGTTTGTCTAAACATAGACGTTTTTTGATAAAGCCTTTCTTAAAAGAAGACAAACGGAAAATAGTTAACGAATGTCCTATAGATAATTACCTCTTTGGTTCTAAGCTTAACGAGTCCATACAGTCCGTGGCAAAGACTAGTAGGGATCTAAGAATCAGTTCATCTAACCCTTTTAAAAAATTCATAAGAACGAAAAATTATCGTGAACCTCAACCGGGACCTTCTAGTTGGCCTGGAACTTCATGTAGGCAGGCTTACCGTTCCAAGCCTAATTACAGAAACTATTTAAACTTCAGGCGTCCTCAAAACAACTTCAAGAAAAAGCCCCAACAATTAGAAGAGAAGAAGGAGATTCGTCCATACAGAGAATCTCGAAACTTCCGAAAATAACAAAGGTAAATAAATTAAGATACGCTGGTTTTTTTAAAAGAATGCTTAAAATGAGAGAAAATTACAAACAATAATATGGTTTTACAATGGATTTCAGGCGTTACTATTCCCTTTAATGAAATACACATTTATTTGAACCTAGGGTTTCTATAAATAAATCAGAATTTTTAAATTATAAGAAGGTAATTGATGATTTAGTAAAAATAGGCGCTGTATCAAAATGTGAACCTAAATAAGCTAGGAAGCTAGTGTCAAATTTTGAATAGTTCGTGTATTTGAAAAGATCTTGGTAAATCAAATTTGAAAAAAATATTTAGACATTTTTGATTTATAGCAAATTTTAAATTTTGATTTAAAACTTTTAACACCCTGTATCTTATTAGGGCTCTCTGTGGTAAAGCATTGTCGGTCGAACACCCAGTATAAACGTTTTCTCTAAAATTGATCGTAATGGAGAAATTTGAGAAAAGTGAAGAATTTCCACATTATATTATGTTGTATTAGTGTAATTTATTAGAATTGTGTTATCATTAAATTTTTTGTTTGCAGATTTTGAAATAGCGATTTTCTAAAACCAGTTTTCTCTGAGCGTTACCAACTTGGAAAACAACAGCATACGATCTTCAAGTGGCGAGGTAACGAGGTACAACTTGGCGAGAGGTACAACTTATGGGTTTGTGAGTCAGACAACGGTTGATCAACTACAAAAGCTGGTGATATTAATCCCTAATGCTCTGAAGTGTTATGAGTCAACAACAGGAACCGAACGAAACATTATTGAAGTTGATGTATCCACGCAGAAATTCTGTGTTTGTCCCCTTAGCTGCTATGACCGTATCGTTTTCAAAAACTGAACTAGGAAACATCGTAGTAGATGGATGTTCCATCACCATAGCACCTAGAAATTCTGCGGAATCATCAGGAGATACGGGTGAGAACGTTCCTATTATTTCTTGGTACTTTGCTTTCTTTTCTGGTGTCCATTAAATGTTTTCGTTTTCATATCGTTTGAATTTTTTTCCGTCTGTTCTTGGTATTTGTTTTTATTTTCTGGTATCCATTCAGCGTTTTCTTCTATATTATGTCGTTCGAAGTCTTTGTCTGTCTGCACTTGGTATTTTGCTTTCTTTAATGGTGCCCATTTAGTATTTTTTCGGTTTCATGTCGTTCGAATTTTTTGTCTTTGGGTTCTTGGTATTTGGATTTCTTTTCTGGTGACCATTCTGTGTTTTCGTCTTCATGACGTTCGAATTCTTTGTCCACAGGTTCTTGGTATTTTGTTTTTTCTGGTGATTTTCCTGTCTGTTCTTAAGAAGTCTTAAGTCCTAAGTCCTAAATATTTTATTTCGATACAAAACCAAATATTCAAAAATTTTAACCTTTGATTTATTTTGCACCTTATTTGAGGTTTAAATTATGTGGGAAACTGTTGTGTTAATGTTTTCATTGAAACAATGACGGTCAAAAAATGATACATGAAATCAAAATATTGATAAAACCGAAACATATGGTTTACCGGTAATCTAATAATTTAATCAATTGTTTAAAAGGCATCGAAGAGAAAGTATATTGTAATGTAATGGTTCACGGTTTTTATTGTTATTTAGAAGTCACGTTTTTGGTTTGATTTATCTACAATAATCAATTATGGTAGCCCGAAGATTTTGCCACAGTTACACACTTATGTGTTATACCTTATACTCGAATTGTCTGCTGAATGCTATTGTTATATTTAGACAAGGTTATTAAAAAAAATCTAAACC